TTTTTATTTTCAAAACGAGGAAATAGCCATGTGTGGCTACTAAAACTGTCAAACCGTACAGCCCGGCCCGGGCACAATTGACACCAAACACCTATTGTGGAAGCGGCCGCCCGAGGACTTAATATCGCGTGGGGCGTTTAGCGCGGTGGCGCGGCGCGAGTCGATACACGAAAAATCGAATCAGCGTTCCATCGCCCGCGGCCGCTCCGCCCGCGCGCCCACCTCTGCCCGATGATAATACGCGTCGACTGATCGCGCGGCCTTACTGACGGATGTAAACATCACGACACCACTAGCGGGGCTCCGAATTACCGTGTTTGACTGTTTACGAAACGACCTACGAATGGTTTGTTCGCGTTCTGTAGCACTTCTGCTCTCGGAATTGTTGCAAATGTATTCCGGCTGTATCGTCAGATTTCCTGGAGTGATAATCGCAAGAGGAACAATGTGCACGTGTTAGAAGACACCAGTTTCATTTCTGTAAACATTAATATTTTAAAAATAATATTCATTATATTTTATGTCGTTGAAATATACTCTATTTTCTCTTAGGCGTAATAAACAGTTTTGTCTCAAAGAAATATTTAGACATCGGGTGAAACATTCGAAAATCTGATTTTTTTTCTTGCACTTTTTAGTACCACTTGCCTCCTTATTTTCGCGACTCTGATTTTTCTATATTTTTTCTCTCTGTTGATCTCGTAATGTTCTTGAGTAGTGTTACTTCCGTTGCAAGCTTCTAATCCACTTTGGCTGTACCCCTTCTTCTGTTTGCTTCGCCGTTTCCTCGCTCGCCTCCCTGCAGTCGGTCTTCTAGTAGGTCAAGACGGGATGGAACAGGATAAAGAGGTGATAAGGTCACCGCCTAATGCTCTGCTTGCTTTTTCCTCGTTCCTGGCTCCAGACGCAGCTTTACGAAGCAATGCAAAGCACACGGCCAAAAGCTGTAAGCCTCTGGTATAATATGTAGCTTCTTAGCTTAACAAGATTACCAAGAACAAATAAGCTTGACGGTGAAGCTGAGCCTTAAGCCGCCAAGGCCAGACGCGAGCACCCGAAGACCGAGGCCAATTATAATAATGCAAATACGTCCGGAGGGGCCTCATTACACCCCATCGGGCCGCCACCCTTCCCGTGAGAGCGGCACGGTGACGGTCGTTCGCGCTGCCCGATTCCCTCGCCCCGCTTCTTACTACTTCGCCCCCCTCCTCCCTCACACTCCCTCCACGCGGCTCCGCCCAGTCCACTCCCCCTCTCGCTCCGCCCCGCTTCTTACTACCTCAAGCCCCTTCGTCCACACACATAAACACAGCCCGCCCGCGCCCAGTTCACTCCTCCAGCCCTCCCCGCTACCTGAGGCCCCCTTCTTCCCCCACCGTCCCGCCCATGCCACTCTCCCCATCCCTTGCTCATCGCCCCTCCCTTCTTACCACTTCACGCCCTTTTCCTCCCCCTCCTCCCCCGCCGCCCCCGCCAGAGCCTGTCTCCCACAGGAGGGCGCGTGAGGCACTAACGTGATTTCTGGACGCCCTCCCTCAGAGGATTTGTGACGCTGGCGCGTAGAAGGAATGGGACAAGCGAGCGCAGTGTGAACTTCGCTGTACATTCTCTTCGGCTCCTCGAAAGGAAAGCAACAATAAGCTGCAAATACTGAGTACACACTAAGACGGACTGTTCTTCGAACTCGTAGTTCTGGACATTGGCAAATATGGTGTGCACTTCTACCTAAACGTCTGTATCTTTTAGCTCTGTGTGCAAAGGGATGCAATTTATGAGTTTGTTATTTTTTCTCATAAAGAATCAGAAAATCAGAGTGAATTGTCGTACATTTCTCTAAGGCAAAGAAAGGTCGTATCCTAAACTATTATGTGAAAAATGGCGACTGTTTATTAGATCGAAATCTATAAATGTCACATTCCCAGATCATCTCTGTTCGTATTTAGTAGACATTGCGACTAGGACACCATAAAAGAGGAAAATTGTTTCATGAAAACCTATGATAAAATATTTTTCCTACAATTAAGCATCCAACTTCGGGTCAATTTCGTTCTTTCAATTCGAATAGGATTATTCCGTTCCATCACTTGAAGGGTTCATTTGTTTGCAAACGGTTGCATCACAGCCAAAACAATTTAAGCAATCGAGGTAATTACGCAGTAGGTGAAATCTTCGACACTCGAAAAACCTTCGACAGTGTCAACGGAAAGCACCCGTCGCCTGTTTGCCTTTGGGAGGAAAGACCCCGAGTGAATCAGAGTCTTCGAGTTTTGGTGGCAAGACTTGGGGGTGTCCCTGGGAATCCGTTTGGATAATTGGAAATATGTGAAAGTGCTATGAGTAATAACAGTGGAATGCACTATGAATAATGACAATGGAACACTCCAGAATATGCCCATGCTGATTACTAGACTGACAAATATCTGGCCTTCAAGATGCATATGATTGGACTAATGTAGGTGAAACGGGAGTCTTTTTTGAAAACTTTTGCATTATCTTATCCGCATCTAATGCAATAAGGAACTAAATCCTGCTAGCCAAAAATTGAAAAAAAAAATGCCAAATTGGCTTCAACATAATGTGATGACTGGCTGAAGTGCATGACGATAATGATGATATGAAGCTCATGACACAATGATCAGTATGATGCATCTCGCTAAGTCAGCGAAGTACAACCAAACCAAGCAACCAACCAACCAACCACAAGCCGCTGGTCTCCCCTGGACGAGTAGAGTGCGCACCAGACATTTCGCTTGCTTCAAGCACGGATCGCAACATCCGCCAAGTGCCATTACCAAATAAAGTGGTGTTGCTCGCTGGGGCTCCAGACACCCCGCCGCTGCCGTAAAGCAATAAGGCGGAACATGGCTGGCGGCGGCGGCGGCGGAGCAGCGCGAGCGGCCCTGGGGCGACGCACGCGACCCCCCCCCCCCGACGCCGCTGCCGACGGCACCTGCGCCGCTGGACGCGCAGCGACTTCCGGTCGCGGCGGTCGCTCATGCGTGTTCAGCGCTGGTTAACGTGCTGAGACGCACGGGAGTTTAGTGCGCGGTAGAGGCACTGGTCACATGACACCCGCTCCACATGGCCCACTCCCACCGCCCACTTCCTGGCGCAGCTGATAGGGACGGAATGCCATCGAAAGTCGGAAATCGATGATTATTACATTTATTAATTGAATATAACGTCCGGGTATGTTGTTTTCTGACAGTGCATTATATAAAAATCGACATGTCGGCTTCGTAAATTTGTTGAGTGGTTGAAGGTTGTTCCTTTTCAAATAATCAATTAAAATAATTTTTATATTGATTATGATGGCATCTTTCACTTTATTTGAACATTTGACAACGCGTTAATTTTATCACTTTTTTAAAAAAATTCTGCACTACATTAATTTATAATTGACTATTAATAGGGGAGAATCTGACGGTGAGCAAAAAGTTACTTTATTGAATATATCTCGCTATTGATAATTGAGTAATTGAAATAATGCTTATGTATTCCAGTGTAATTTTCGATGCGACATGTCTTTTCCATATTTTCACTCACTACTTCGTGAAAAAACCGAAAAGAATGCTTCATATCCTTTCTAAAGAATATCTGTATAATACTTTTCTGTATAACGCGCAGTAATTTCGATATTTTCTCTTGTGAGTGCCCTTCAACTGCAGAAAATGTTTAAGATACACATTTCTTCAACATACATATGCCTTGCCTTTTCTTCACATTTGCATTTCTCTTAATGAAGCATTTTAAATGCTCTTTTTTTTCGATGGCTAGCGTGGTAGTAGCCGCCGTCATTGAACATTGCAAAATTGAAAGACAACTGCTAAACCCCCTTACGTAATGATCAAATCAACAAATTGCTAGATACGACTGTCTCGGTACGTGGTAGACGAATAAACAAAGCAAACTACAGCTGCATTAGTTATTTTCTTAATTAAGTTCATGAAAAACATGGTGTTGATTAAAAAAGTACGTTCTCATGGTCAAGGGAAGTAATAAAACTTTTGTAATACTACAAAAATATTTTCTCCGGAATCTACCATATTATCGATGGCGATGGAACCGTTCGATTATGCTGTTTGTTTTTAATAATACATAGTGAAAGTTCGTTTATGATAACGATCAGAGATTGGTGTGCAGTTCACTCACAGAGTTTCTCACCATATTCGAGTTGTATATATTTCGGTTCTGTCTAGTGCTTTCTCCTTAAGTGCTCGACGGCAGAACAACACATTTCGTCAAGATTAGTTCACTCAGTCGGCCGAAATCGTCGCAATAATCGTTGATGCTCGGTCTAGGTCTTTTCAGTAACTTATGTACTTTTGTAATTCTTGTGTAATCCAGATGCAAGGAAAACGAAGGTCGCGTGTTATCTCCGAATTTTGTAATGTTCTTTATATATCGTATCATCAGGAGAAGTAAGACTAATACTGTGCAGTGCTATTCAAAAAAAGTAATCTTAAGCGAATGTCTCTCAACCGAAAATGCTATTACTACTTTTAAAACCAAAACGAAGCCGGAATCCAAGTGCGTGCTGCTTCATCGTCGCTGATCGGCATTACGGTCGGGTCGGCATAACGGACGATTTGTCTCGGTGATCAGTCCTACACTTGTTAAACGCGTCCTGCTCGTCAGTGCGGTTAAGTCATCGCGCCTCGCCTTAAATGTCGCCACGTAAAACCGAAAAGGGCACACTTCCACCTTTCGGCCAATCCGGGGCGGCTTCTGGCTGAGCTGGTGGCGCGCGGCGGCTGTGCCGTGGGGCGAGAGGGGGGCGCGGCAGCGGCGGAGGTGCGGGCGCCCGACGCGCCGCATTTACGGGGCGGCCCACAGCGGAGGCAGCGATGCTGCCCGCCGACGTGAGGGGGGACGTTCGCGGTCTCACGCCGCCGCTGCCGCCGCTCTGCTCGGCGGCCGACGCTCACCACCGTCGCCTCTTCCCGTGTGCCGCAGGCCTGGCGTCGGGGCGCTCGCTGCCTGTACACTGCGTGGTGGAGGCCGTGGCGGCGCTGGGCGGCGACGGCAAGCTGGGCTGGAAGCGCCGGCCCGTCGTGGAGACGGACTCCTACGTCATCATCCCCGCCAACACCGCCTTCCATGACCTGGTGGCGGTGGCCCTGGCGCGCCTCGGCTACCCCACGGACAGCGCCAGCGCCGCCAAGGGTGAGTGATTGCACGCGGTCGGCTGGCCGCGCCGCGTCTTGGCACGCGGCGAAAGTTGGTACCACTTGCAAATTCTGCGTCTACCACCACTTAAATTGTTGAAAGGCAGAATCAACCGCTTACTATTGAATTAACATACAAAACATACTACGTCGCTTCGTCTCGAATAAAATTTCCACATAATGGGAACACGTTGTAAACAGGATAAAGAATTCGGTTAATGAGAAAGTTGAAATGATCATGTTTGTGGTAATACAGTGTTTCACGAAATTATTCGTAAACAGAGTTTAATTTTAGGGGTTTATTATTGTGACACAAGGCCGACTTACGTGTTAAGCTTTCTGTAAACACCGCACGGCCTTGTCAAGTGCATGAACGGCAGGGGTATACATGTTCATATATATAT